TGAGCCTTCTGCGCAGCTTTCGCTGCCACACTAGCAGCTTCGCTAGCTGCTTTGGCCACTGGACCATCGGATCGCGGCCTGCCTTGAACGGTGTGAAGAAGGAGCTATGATGCGACTGCGAGCCCGATTGCCTCTCTCTTCCGCCTTGAGAACGATCGCATCGTCGTCCCATGTCATTCTCTTGAGCCCATGGTGGTGAGTGGTCAGTGTCACTGGCCACCTCTGTAGTTGTCGGACTCCCCCTTTCAGGCATTCAGTTCGCCCTTCCTTTTCCTCCACCTCTTTTCAAAGGCCACGTCCTTGTAGGACCATCTCCTTCCTCCCCTTCATCATCATCACGAGGAGAGCGCGGCGCGCTGATGACTCCATGCAATCTTTTGAGACAGCGCCCAATGGAACTCAGCGCTGTCTTCCCAACCCAGATTGCCCCAATCGCAATCAGGACTAAGCCGCGGGTCCACAATGTTCCGAAAGAGGAGTGCTTCTGCTGCTTGAGCGGCTTGGACGATCGCTCCCCCCACTATCGCTTGCAAAGCCACAGAGCGATCATGTACTTGAAGGTGTCGATTGCCCATAGTCACCCTTTTCACATGGATCTGTTCGCCCTGTAGGCCAAGATCCGACAAAAAACCAAAAAAGCACTGGCCAGCCAATGGTTTGGTCATTCCATCAGCCACCAACTCTGTCCCCTTGGGGTGGTTGAGCTGCCATTTCCCTCCGGGGTAGGTTGGCTGCAGCATTGTCACCATACATCACCCGTTCCTAGGTGTTGGAAGGTGCCAAGCGCTCCCCCACATGGCGCACAGCAGTGCCTCGGTTGCCCTTCCAGCCGCAAGGGGTCTTAATGGGATTTCTTCAGAGCAAAGGCTTTGGACCCAAACTGAAGCATAGGGCCCGCCGGAAGTCCAAGGCTCCTGAGTTGACCACGGAGCCGTCGCTCGCCAATGTGAATGGCGGCCAATGGCCAGTATTTCAAACCAAGCCAGTGGTTGCCACGATTGTGTGGACATATTTTTTGATCACGCCAAGTTCTCCTTCAACTTTAAGCCATTGGCTTTGAACGAGTCACCGGATGTGAGGGTGGCGATGACACCTCTGTCCAAGGTCCAACCGCGGACCGGTGCCGAGATCAACTCCCGAGCTCTGTTGCAGTGAAGACGATACAAGGGCAACCCAATGGGACCGAAGCCTTGCGCAGATGCGAGCCAGAGCAGGAAGGATGTGATTCACTGCCCTCCCTGGAAGCACCTCCACAAAGGTGACATTGCGAACCGCAACATCTTGAGCATCATCAATCCTTTGTTGCCAGGCTGCCATAGCTGCCCGGCTTTGTTTCACAGCGGCGTCCTCAAATGCTCCTTCCCCGGACCCTCGACATCGGCCACTTCACCAGCCAACAAAAGATCCTCACCTGGGTCTTCGCCGCCCGGTTCCGTGTGCGGCCTCCAACGATGGGTTGGTCCCACGCTGGAAGCGATCTTGCAAAGCCAGCGCGAGAGCAACTTTCAAACCAGGTGCCCATGCCGCCCATCATCTTGAATGTCACGCATCACAACAGCCAGAGAGGTTGGCTTCTTCTTCACATGGCCCATAGGTCCTTGATCAAAATGAAGCATCCGGACCTCATAGGTCTTGGCGAAGGACTGCTACTCCTTGGTTCGCCAGACGGATATGAACTCCTTTGCCTGCGCCTCTGCAGCCGATCGATACTGTGCGGGATCTTCTGGCTGCTCCGTCGATCGCCAAAGCAGTCTGAGGTTCCTGGCAAGCGAACATCTTCGCGCAGCACATACAAGGCCAACATACGGAACCAAAGCACACTATCACCAGTGACCAAGCTTTGTTCAGCAGCCGTCAGGGATGGGACACCATAGGGATGCTCCTCAGTGCAAAGGATGCCACGGCCCCCATCACCTTGGTACCTCAAAGCCAAGACCGTACGACATGGAGGACCACCCGCAGCGCTTTGACCCGGCCGGAAGCCGCCAAGGAGGGCAACAAGCTGAATACATGGGCATCTCATCGCGCAAATCAGGAACACTGCCGCTTAGATCAACGCATAGGACTTCAACGCCTCCGCCTGACAACTTCTTCTCCCAAAAACGGTGGTCCGGCCCCGAGAACAAGTGGATCACAATCTTTTTGGCCTGTTGTAGCCGCCGACGTTTGTGCCGGTTCCAAGGAAGGAGGTGTCCATCCATCACCTGAAGCGACGAGAGATCCGGTTCGAACGACCTTCATCAAAATGTCATCCGATGTTTTCAACTTCAAGGTGAGGGCCATCTCCGTGGAGTGCTTCACAGCTTCTAACGATGCCACCGAAGGGTCCAGCAACATCGACTTTAGCAGCAACGCCTTCTTCACCAGACGAACCTGCTGTTGTTCAAGGCGGTCAATCATCTCTTTGCCCAACTGACGAGTGACCATCGGGCAACCATGTTGGATGCAGACAACGAGATCATGCCCTTGCTCATCACGCAAGGTGCACTGGGCGCCTTTCCATTCAAACCTCCGGGTCAGGCAGCAGGATCTTGGAGTCAGCCTTCAGACACAGTCTCGTTGTCCGGTCGAAGTGCATGAGTAGCGCCTGAATCCAGAAGAACAATCATGCCCTCAGCATCAACTTCTAGCTGGCTGATTGTAATGACTTTCAGCTGCGGCGCCTTCAACGATTTGAGAAGCTTGGTGGCTTCCTGGAGCAATGCCTCAGTGGTTGCAGATGTAGCTCCGGTTTCACCTTTTCCCCCATCGCTTTGCGCAGTCACCTCTGTCACTGTAGAAGGCGACGCTTTCAAAGAAGACTTTCCTCCCCCTCAGCCGCCAGGCTCACCAGTGGGTTTGCCGTCTTTCGAAGGACCCGACTTTCCTTGAGTTTTGAGCTTGCATGCAATCGGTCTTGCAGTGATCTTTGCTGCCGCAAATCCAACGCGAGCAGCCTTGTCTTCAATGCCGTCCCAAGAGTGGGACCATTTGCAATTCCGCCCAGCTTTGCGCTGCCATGAGGCACAAGGTTTCCGCCTCAGCGAGCAAGCATTTGGCTGAAGCGCCGCGCACCATCATGAAGGGGCTGTTGATCAATCCCCAGCTAGCCAATCGCCCAGTTCGAGCGGGGATGCATCAGCAGCTAGCTCGACGTGTTCTTTGCTCCCCCCACCTACACCTGCATTCCAAGGCAACGGAGCCGGTGTAGGCGAGTGTGGAGCACCTCGCCACGACCATACGCAGCATTACCGCTGCGCGTCGCAGACTCTTTGAGTCCGGCAGCCATGCATCCGAAGGACACTTGCCACCAGGAGGGCCTATATCCATCAGGACCGGGTGGGCGTACGTCAACGCGACTTCGGACCCCATGACCCATGAACTTCCCCTCCAGGAGCGCCAACAACTCCCCCATAGGTCATGTCCATCGCAGGACCATTTGCGGGAGCAAGCAATGAACCATGCGCCCTGGTATCTTGCATGCGGGTGACAGACTGTTTGAGCTCAGCCAATTCCCGTTCCAGCCGAGATGCGCGCTCACCATCATCTAGAGGTGCGAAGGCCTTCCCTTCTCGCATGCTCGCTGGTAGCCACTGCGCATCACCGAGCCGACGACGAAAATCCACAAAATCATAACCATGAAACATGCTGGAATCCGCCGAGGTGCTAGGAGGAAACGGTGGCATGGGAATCTCAGGCAAGTCTCGTGGTGGCGTGCCTGGCGGTGCCTGAGTGCCATTGGTCGTCCTCCTCAACGTCGGACTTCGTGCGCGAGGTGTGTGCGGCGGCTCACCCTTGCTAGCGCCGCTTCCGTGACCAGCAGTTTCGCGCCCCATGGTGCAGTCTTGTTTGACCCCTTTGTCAGGTGCCTCAACATGTTTCCATGAGGGCGGAGCAGAGGACGGAGCTTGACCGCCCCGATGAACTTGTTGTTTCAACTTCTCAACCTCTTCCAACAAGTGTTCATTCCGTTCCCCCAAAAACAGCACCATTTCCGCCTCCAAGGCCCTTTGGAGACTTTCTGGTTCACCATGTGGGGTAGGTCCAACTTTTGGAGGCATTGGACCCATAGTGCTCTTACTCTTCAGTCCTTTGATCTTGGTGGAGCCCTCAGAGCTAGCACTGTCCGGTGGCATCACCCCATCTGATCGCCGCCCCATCGCATGGCCACGACCGTCCGCCCAGCGAGCGCTCGGAGGGGTAACAAACATGCGGCCACACCCCGTGGCCCCGATGCTCCACCGCGTCCTTTGCCCACACAACCTATATGCTTTTGTCCTGCGCAGGAGCGGTCTCCGTCTCCCACTCACCATCACCGTCGTCCTGTGGCGCGGGTAAGTCCTCAGGCCTGCTTCGTCGCAGTGCAATCTCCGATTTGATGCCGTCCGACCAAAAAGGATTCACACCACGGGGGTAGTGATTACGCTCTGCCACGGCGCCGCTAGAAAGCGTGAAGGCTTGGGCTCATAACCCTCAAGGATCTAAATCGAACAACTACGGGCACACTTTTCTCGGACAAAAAATGCCTCGGTCGAATCGGTGTTGTCACCGCCGTGTGTCCTGTGCAAGAGACCAGGAATTGATGCAAAAAACTCCTGCCAGAAGCTGTTTGGAGTCTACGCTGGCATTTTCAACAAAGCTTCTGAGGGGCTTGACCTCCAGCGTGTTTCTCGAAGTTTCACGAAGACATCCCAGCAAAGTTGCCGGCAGAAACTGCCAGGACGATCCTCACATCATAGGCGGCATTATGGTATGCGAAACGGTTGTACAATGGGACAGTAGACCAGATCAGTTTCACAAGCAGGTAGTATGTCGTCGGCAACACAGCCAATGGTGTATGCGCCATTTCACGTCATACTCATACGTGCCGTATCGAAGATAATGCGCATCTGACGCTCTGTACTTCAACAGAGCTGCGCCTGAACACTCTTTGTAACCTCTTTCTTGTTGGTCATAGCGCAAGTGTGTCATGATAGGTCGTTTTTCTGAATAAACAGTCCGAAGAGATATCTTTTGCGCAGGCAAGTGACGATGACTTCGGGCAAGAGCAACTGCCGCCTCATTTCTCTGAGGCCACCGAGGAGCTGGTCAAATTGTTTGGCGAGATGGAAACTGAACAGGAAAGGCTTGTTGGAGTTGTTGTGACCATTTTTGCACAACAGTCCTTTGACGAGAATTTCCGGCAAGTGCGACCTGAGACAGTGCCAGGTGAGAAGGTCAGTACGTACTCTCTAAGTCTTTTCGCAGTTGGAAAGTTGCACGAATATTTGGCTGGAACACAGGTTCCCGAAGGTATTTGGAGCCAATTGGTAGAAGACATTCGTAGCGTTGCGGCTGACAGTGTAACTTTCAACTGGGAATGCTGCGGAGCTTGCAGTGACAACGGCTTTTGCAAGGCGCGAACATCATCACGAATTGCTTTGGCTGTGGCTGCTCCCACAAGTCCCAGCATTCATTTCATTTCATTTGCTTTGCAGAGTGGGTTCTCCGTGATGTGCTCTGACTTTAGTCTCAAAGCACTCATAGCAGAGTGGTCAGAGGAACTCTTGGGCCCCAATCCCTTCATCCGGCTCCGTACCAGCTGTGACTCCCAATTTCAGCTGGAGTTCTTTCCGGAGCAGTTGAAGAATGACGATGTTCCGCAGCAACTTGTCGGCAAGTAATGGCTTGACCCAGTGAAGGTGGCTGAAAGGGAATGGATTGTGAGAACGTAGTGCCTAACATTAGAGGTAACATATATATATATATATTACAATATTTAGATGTATTTAAGTATATGGCAGGTAGTCGCAGAAGTTTGCTGCAATTCAGAGAGACAGATATATAACGAAAGCCAGCCGATAGGCAAGGCTTGAGGTTGATGGAGCGCAGGAAGTGAGTTAAAGGGGGGGTGGTTGCGAGAGGGGCAATCTCGGAGAGGCTGACCCAGAGCCTGGGGAAGACAAGGGGACGTGAAAAGTGGTAGAACAGATTGCAGTTGCGGCAAGCTTAGCGTAGCTGCCATACTGAAGAGGGGACGCCCCGTGCGGTGGGAGTTCACGTGGACGGGGCAGGAAGGTTTTGAGTTGCTTGGGGGGTTTTTGCGGGCAGGAGAGCGAAGTTTTGAGTTGCTTAGGGGTGCCCTTTTTAATCCGTGGCAAGGTCTAGTTGCTGGACTCAAAAGGGCACCCCATATGGGGTGCGTGATGCCATCTGTTGAGGGCATGCGGGAGAACAGCTTGCAGCGGGTTGAGTTGCCGGCCTGGAAAGGGCACCCCATTTGCGGTGGAAGGAGTTCACGTCGATGGGAGGAAAGGGACGACAAGGGGACGTGAAAAGTGGTTAGACTTAGCAATGGCCACATTCACTGTGCCTTTGTTGACCGGACGCATCTGGCCGTGTGCGATGACCCGACGACCCTACAGCAGCAATTGTCACGAGTCTTTTCAATATCAACTTCACCACTTCCGGCTACTTGGAACCTATATACATATGTGTATCCTCACCATAGCCTGCCCATAGCCTCGCCCATGGCCCCCCACGGCCGTGTTTGCTCACTGATTCGCAACACGCCGCAGGCAACCGCCCCTCAGTTCCTTGGGGCTGCCTTTTTTCACTTCCAAAACGCCCCTGAACAGGGACGAAAAAGCCCCCCCCCCCCCCCAATCCTATGTATTCGACTTCCTGTTTCTACCCCTATCGAGGTGGCTGCGATGTCAACTTCACCCCATGAAAGTACTCTTTGCCCGATGCTACCCAATCACTTCATCTTGCACGCCAAGTCTTTGGCCAGGCCTGCCCTGAGGGCACCCCTAACCCAGAGGCTGGCTTTCGTCCCCTCCCTTCTCAGGTATACCATACATAGAGAGAGGGAGGTGCAGACAAAGAGAGCAGCACTGGCAGAAGGAGAGCAACACTAGAGATAAAGAGGAGAATAAGAAGAAGGATAAGCAACAGAAGATGCAACACTGGAACCTTTACCCAAAACATGTTTCAGGCAGCTGCAAGTGGTTGGTGAACTTTGCACAAGAGAGGGCAAAGCAGTGGTGAGCGCTTTAAGTGATACCATTGTCTACACAGTGAACCCACACCATGTGGACACTGATGCCTTTCAGCTGAAAGTTCTGACGGTAATCAGTAATTGGACTGGTGGTTCAATGGTTGAAGCGATGCAATGCGAGATCCAGCATGGTGAACTTAAGAAAAGAGGTGCCGCAGGCCACGTGGCTCTGACATATCCGTCGGGTGGGCAGCTGATCACAAGCATGGGCCACTGGATCGAGCTTACTCGCATTAACACTTCAGTGGAGTCCATCATGCAAGTTGCAGCGAAGAACTTCGGCCAGCTTGAGATTTCCAAGCAACAAGCAGCTTTGAGTAGTGCCAGGACCGAAGCAGACCGGCAGAGATGTGTTCAGGAGCTCAGCAAGCAGATGATTCAGAAATCTGTGCCCTCTACAATGAGAGGAAGGACCAAGTATTGATCTGAACCAGTGCAATTTTTGGCATTGGCACGTGTGAAATCATTATGGTTTTGTCACCCTGTATAGAAGGAAACCAATTCCAATCAACTTCAAAGAAGAGCTTCCTGTACAGTGGAAGTTGAGATGCAAAACTGTTCGTTGTACATTCTCAAATTGACAATTACAAGTTGAAAAGTAATGTCCTTTGTCAATTTGTCAAGCTTCTCCCCAAGAGCGTTTAGTTCATTTCCTGCAAGCGTTTGGCTTCAAACCAATTAACATTGTGCAGCGCACTCATTTATCCCTCTGGATATGGCCTACACAGATGGCTCAATGGTTGACACCGTCACTCTGGCCACGATCGGCGCATTCTATGCGTCATTGGCAAGTGCCCTTTACCTTCTCATCTGGGGCAAGTACATTCAGATGCAGAAGTTGTTGGTGGTGGTCATGGTCCTGGTGAACTTGCGCTATATCGTCTTTGGCATGAGCGCATCGATTGGTTGGGTGACAAATGCGTCTGATGTCTTGACTGACTTGCTCGTAGGTTTGGACACAGATTGTCCACAGCGTGCTCCAGCAATGTGCACAGAGCTGTCAGGGAATCCCAACAGTTTGCTCTCAATGTATACCTCTCATCCAAGTTGGGCTGCTAGGAATGCTATAAATACGAAAGAGGTTTGCATGTTTGACTTTTCCTGTGTTTTCGTATCCTTTTGGTGATTTGCTTCCAACCTAATTATATAATAGTTGTCATTTGAGCAATCATATTGTAAAGGTATTGGTGCAAGAATAATTCGACTTTCTTTCTTAAATGAATCTTGCTGTTATGCAATTTGGTGAGGTGCTTTTCCTGTCTCTGTTACGTAACCTTCAAAGTCCGCGAACTGTTTCTGAGGCTGCGGACTTGTACCATCTTTTTGGCGAAGGACCCAAACTCGACAAGATTTGCATGCACATCCACATCCTTGCCATGACCGCAGTCCCTTGTGCATCAAGAGAGGTTTTGGACAAAGAATGTCGCAACAGACAATGACTTCATAGACAAACATGATCAAACATTATGTGTTTGTCCAAAGTGCCTTCAATCCTCGGTCTTTTTGTTCCTAAGCTTGGCTGACATTCTCTGGTACTTCATGTCAGGCACACTCTTTAAGAGTGTCATGTGACACAATCACCCCATATATATATATAAATCAAGCTCGCAGACTCAACATAGCTCACCAAAGTGCAAGAGACAACCATGGGATTTACTGGATTCCTTGTTGCTTCGTGTGAATGACTATACAAGGGCATTACTATAGGAGCAAGGATGCTACTAGTAGCTCCTGGCATCACTACTAGGACGAACAAGAAGCTACTAGTAACAAGGGCATTGCTACTAGTAACAAGGGCATTACTACTAGTAACAAGGGCATTACTACTAGGAGCAATGAAGCTATGGGATTTACTGGATTCCTTGTTGCTTCGTGTCAATTACTTTCATTCACCTCAAGTTTTGTGGACGCAAAAAAAGGCACTGAGTGTATCTTTCGTGCACATTTTCTTTCTTCGTGGAAAGCTTCAGCGCCGTGCCGGTCAAGTCTCTGCTTTCTTTGCAGCGATTGGAGTGCCCATGGGATTGGTGGTCGGGTTGACGAATCAGAGCTCTGAGCCACTCAGCATATGGAGTGACGCGGAGTGACATGAAATACACCCCCAAAGGAAGGAGAGGGGTTTGATGTCCGAACCACAAATTCTCATGACACAATAGTAAAATCGGTTCTGGTTTCAGACTTGACTTTGACAAAAGACATGTCCAACATGGACATTTGAGAAGCCTCCTGGACTGAGGGCCTATGGAGGCATGTGGTCGGTGTATGGCTGGATTTGGATGGCCGGGTCCAGCTTTTTCTTGCTGAGCAAGGGTGTGTTGACAGTCTTACAAGGCAACATCAAGTCACACAAGCGCTGGATGACGCGTTTTTATGTCTCAATGTGGTGTGACTTCCTTGCTTCTGGGCTGATGAGTAGTGAAACGAGTTTCCAGCATTTTCTGTTTGGGAGACTGAACACATAGATCCGAGGTTCGTGCCAGCATGTAGCGTCATTTCTGCAGATTGTACAGCTTAGGTCTTCCGATTGTTACTCTTTGTTGTGACACCATTCGTTACCGAATGCAAGAGCTGCGCCTTTCTGCCCATGATCTACTTGTCCCCGCTGATTGGGCTCATCGCGGGTGAGGTGGTTCTCCAAGCCAAGGACCCAAACTCCCCACTTCCAAACTGCACCTGACGTTGAATTGTTCATGGCTAGTGCACGACGCAGGCTGCTGTCAGCCTGGTCCATTAGAAGTAAAGGCGAGAATCAAGGCTAAGCGACTTTCATTGATAGTTCGAAAGTGTCGATTGTTTTGCCCCCATTCGCTTTGAAGCATCACAGCTGACAGCCAGATCATGCCGGATCTGTGCTGCATCCAAAAGGACAACGGAAACTGGGTGTCCAACTACAAGACTAAGTGAGAGCTGCAGATTTTGCTTGGCGGTGCCACATTCTTTGTGGAGTTCATGTTGAGCTTGAGCTTGGCTGGCCGAAAGGTCGCTATCCTGAAGAAGTCGCATGAGCGTTGGCACGGCAGAAGTTCCATTACAGTCTCCCGAGCCAGTCGTTTGCGAAGGCTCCTGACTGATTATGCAGATTGACCAAGTCAATCATGCTGCTTTAGAGATGCTCTCAAAAGGAATGCGTGGGCAAAAACGCAGAAGAAGAGGTATTTTGAATAAGTGTTGCTTTGCTGTTCTGTTTGAGCCTTGCAACCTGGAGATATTTGTCGGTGACATGTTTAGGGCAACAAGAAGACGCCTGAAATAAAGCGACTTAGTTGTAAAGCAGGTCCCACTGGAGTTTCAGGAAGTTGAAGTTTGGTGCTTCCACCCACTCAGCCTCATGGCCCGAAGTGAACCCGGGCTGGGAGGCATCTTCAGCTAGCGCGCCACCAAGATATCATGATGCTTGATACTGTTTGAGTCCATTCAAAGCAGCGTAAATGCGTTATACTTACAATAAGTAGTCATGACTGTGTTATCAGCTATCAAAGAATTCCATTCGGCAAGAAGATGCTAACATGAAGACCTGTCTGCTCCAACCTGAGGTATGAAGATACTAAATGTAGCGTTCTTGAGCTTCCTGCACTTGGGTGTCTTTGGCAACAAGCTCCTTTCATGCACCAGTGCATGTTTTTTCTAAGCTTGGGGACATTTGGTCCTCAGATATTGCTGCAACTTGTGTTCTTCAGAGCAAGGCCACAGGCAGTGTGTGTTGATTCAGCCTGTCTTTCTTCGTTCCGAGGCTCAGGAACTTCAACCAGTTGAGCTCGGAGGCTTCCTTGGGAAACCTCACGGTTAAGCTCAAAGCAGATCCTCGGATCTCGAAGGTAGCTAAGCCACTTACCACTTGAGCCATGACACTATCCCATGCAAGGGCAAAACTTGGACGGGTTGCGTTTGCTTGAGCTCCGTAAGGAGACCTTGGCAGAACTGAATTGAACTCCGTGCGACTGAGGATACCTTTGTGAACCCCAGCACGAAGATAGGAGAAGTTGGTGCTATCCGGCTCTTGAACTCGCGCGGTGTTTGCTGGCTCCTCAATGCTCACTTTTCCGTGGGTTAGCTTCCCTGAGAAAGGGTAGTAGCGCAACACTTGCTTTGCAGAGCAATGTTTTGTCATTGTGCTATTTCATGCGCTTGTGTTTGGCGCCCAGAGCAATTGGTGAGACGGTTTGAAGTTTGAAGGCGTTAGCTGCACAGTACCACTGGCATGCTCCACCTTGGATCAGCCAGGCTACCAGGCATCGGGGAGAACGCATGAAAGGGTTGGACACACAGATGGAATCATGAAGCGAAATGAACTAATGAACAGCAATGAATATGAATGGCTAATCATATCTATGATATTGTTGATATTATATACTAAATCTATATATTGATATTGTAATTATTATATAATATTATAGCAAAATATGTATATGTTATTATCTAACCAATAAAGAAGGACAGCACCTTGAAAGAAGGCCCAACGGCCTAGCGCTTCATGGCCGGCAGGGAGAAGACGTGAAGAAGGCCTGCAGCTCGGATCCAACGCCCGGCAGGAACTGGAGCCCAGAGCTGAGAAGCGAGAGACTTTTGCCTTTTAAGAGTCTAATTACACCAGCATAGACCCCAGATAGCGGGTGTATAGGTTTGTCATCCCTGTGTCATCCCTGGGCATGACATGATGTCATTCTGGACATGACATGATGTCACCTCTTGGCATGCATGCTGTCATCCCGGGACCAGCACCGGCACGGCAGCAGCACCCGCAAAACGAAAAGCCGATCAGCACTGGCAAAACCAAACGCCGATCCAGAGCCAGCACCGACCTGCACCTGCACCAGCACCAGCGCAGCACCTGCAAAGCCAAAGCGCCAACCCAAAGCCAGCACCTGCACCAGCACCAGCATCAGCACGGCAGCAGCACCCGCAAAAAACCCAGAACGCCGATCCACAGCCAGCACCTGCACCTGCCCATTGAGTAGCCCGCAGCTATCTGGGGAAAAACAGAGACAAGAAACCGCTAGGTAGCTAGTAGTGGCAAACGGTAGCTAGTACCTTACTTGAAGAAGCGCTCGCACTAATGAGTTGCTTCCTAGATGTTTTCGGACACAAACCTCCCATTGCCTAATCTCCGGACGTTTTCTGCCATGTAGGATTTGGGCTGTTGACTTCCTTTTTACAATACAGGAAGCCAAAACGAACAGGCTGAGAAACTGGAGAAAGGGAGAATTAGAGGACCATATTGCAAAGTCATCACCGGGAAGGGTCTCAGACAAGACGACACATTTTCCATCAGCCAAGTCCCATGGACAACAAGGTTGGATTGTGAACAGCAGCAACGAGTATGACATTCGGAAGCTTGAAAATGCAATTGAGGGTCTCTTAGGGCATTTTAGGATCTGAGAGAGAGGGGAAAACTAGACTTAGAGACCATCGCTTCTAGGTGGGAGGCCATCGCTACTAGGGTGGAGGCCATCGCTATTACTGTAGGTTGGAGGCCATCGCTATTAGGTTGGAAAAACTCGAGTTAGAGACCTGAGAGACTGTTGTTTGGTTTAAAGTGTCTTCACGAAACACATATCATGAGCGATTTTTTGTCGGACTCTTTCATCATGGTAATTCTGGCTTCTGGCTTCTACCGGCCATTCTGTAATCAGGATTGACTTCCCCCTCGAGAAGCTGAATGGGGAGGTGGATTTCACCCTGGAAGTCTCATCGGCTGTGGATGCTTCAGGAGCTTCAAACAAGCTCGTGTTTGCCGCGAAAGAAACATGCATTTGTCTTACAGTAAAAGCTTTCCAGAAGTTGAATGAGTATTCCCTTGTAGACGTCAAAGCTGCAGGCACGAACAGCGAGGTGCAGAAAGGACGACAAGTGACCAACTGGCTGGCCACCACGGTTCTTGGCAAACCGGGTCATCTTGCCTGGATGAAAATAGCTGGAATCCTACGAATCGTAAGATCTCTAAGAGCTCTTCAGGCTATTTCGCCTTTGAGTTTGCATTTACCACGCGGTGCAACCGCCAATGCCCTCACAGTCACTTATATCACCAAGGCTGTGAACATCAATGGTGACCTCTCATCCATGGTCAAGGGCTCCGCTGAATCACAGCTTCCAGCTGCTGCGAAGGAGACTGTCCGAGTTAGTCACCAAAGCTAGTGTTAGCTAGCTGAGTTTGTTCTTGCTTTAGCAAGGGAGCGAAGCCTGAGGCCAACACAGTGATCTTTCTCGTTGGTTCTTGAAACCAGGGTTACATGGTGACGGAGTTTTGCAACCGATTGCCCTAGCTTTCGCGTACATAACCCCGCTGGCCTTTTCCCGGACTCAACAGTCCGATGAAATGGCAAACCCGACACTTGTCGAGATTTCTTGAGGATATTTATGAAGGAGCCGGTACCTCAGCTTCCGCTGAAAAAGCAAAATGCGCAGTCAGGCGCTGTCAGGCAGTCTATTTCCAAGAGCAAAAACTTGGACCAGTGACAACTTAGCAAACCACATGTCAACTTGTTTCTTGTGCTCTTTTAAAAGCATGCTCGTACTTCATTAAGTAAGGAGGTAGGCTATGTTAGCTTCTAGTAGCTGGACGCAGGATAGCCCACGCTTCTTCAAGGGAGCTCCCCGTGCCGCCCTAAAGGCAGCGGGGGGGAGCTTCCTCGAAGAAGCGCTCGCACTAATGATTTGGTTCCTAGGTTTTCAGGGAAACGTAATTATATAAAAGGTTCACTAGTTGCCAGTTGCATATGAGAGCTTATATATTGCAAATGCAATGCTGCGCTGGTGTGCAAGCAGCCAAGGACTGTATAAGACCTAACATTCGTGGCTACCATGTTGCTCGATGGCAAACTGGGAGAGTCTGCCTTTGGATCTTGAAGCAGAGGTCTGTCAAGGTGCCAAGGCGACTGGCGACCCCATGATTTCCACTTACTTTCTTTGACAAGCCACATAACTCAACAGTTGACTCAGGGAGACTGCAAGAATATGCAAGAAGTAGATTCCTTCGGGTTGATCGCTTCGGCTGAGGTCACGGAGCTCAGTCTCTTTAGAAAGCAGTTCAACGTGATGACAGCTTGTGCTGGAATGTACAGAGGCAGGCTCTGTGGACAGCTTGGACCACCTGCAACAATACCGATTCGACAATTCTTTTGTTTTCGGATTCCGCGTCCTTCGATACTAGTAGGAACAAGAAGCTACTAGTAACAAGTGCATCGCTTCTAGTAACAAGTGCCTTACTAGTAGTAACAAGAAGCTACTAGGGGCTCCTGTTTTCTTCTGTTTTTCGGGCAACAGGTGTTGCTTCGGTCCGCCCTTGTACCAAGCACAATGAGCCGTATATCCTGTCGAGAGCCCAGCCTTCCCGGCGGTCCACGGATGGGTTAAAGGATGCTTAAGAGTATGATGGAACTGAGGACAGGATGCGATCCAGAGATGTGCATTGATGAGAGACCCGTTGGGTATGTGGTTAAGTCAATTGCCCTGGAGCGGGCACATTTCACAGCTGACGTCAGTTGTGATGAGGTAAACGGTGCCCTGGCAGGAGCATGAACTCAAATCGGGTCAAAAAGAGTTGGAAAAACATGGAAAAACGACTGGAATGTGTCTCTCTCAATCTGGTTTGAGGTTCCGTGTGTTATGTTTCGGTATATGAGCCAAGCTGGAGCTGACTACCAGGTTTCTACGGAGTTGCTGGTGCAGAGAAATGTGGCGGACCAGGAGAAGCCTACACTCTGTTCGGTTGTGAGACAACTACAAGCACCACGACGACCACTTCAACAACGACGACGACAACCAGCACGACTACTGTAGCTTACCTTGGTTAGTAATACACCGGGCATCAAACACACTTGGGGGTGGGATCCCTAGATAGAGCCTTGCCACAGCAATGATGCCCACAACTGTACAACACCACCCACCATTTCGGGGCGCGCTCCCCC